GTTATGGATAAATAATGCAAAAAACCCCCCACAATAGTTGAAAAATGTGACTCAGAGAAAAAAGAAAGTGTAGATTTAGCACAGATTTATTCTCTTAAAATATTCAGCTTATAAGATTTATAATACGACTTTGCAGAAAAATAAAGTGTTTCTAGGAACTCTTGACTTGTTTTTGGTCATATAATAGGTGAGAGTGTGATTTATGATATTTCTTTCTCTCCCCTTTTATGTAATCAGTGAAATAGAATGAATTAAATTTTACTAACAGCACATTTTATGATGAAATCTCATAGACTGTATTATCCTTGAGGGTAAACAGAAGCATTTTTGTTTGACCACAGTAATAGCAGTCAACCAGAATTATTGCAGATTTTATTGGAATGGGTAGGACACAGGTTTATAAATATTGTAATGCATGGAAATGTAGACCAGTTTTATTTTTAGAGAAGAATGAATCCATTTGCTTTTCCTTAATTGATTTATGGAGGTATGTTTGATTTTGCTAATTAGAAGCTTAAGTATGATTTTTAATACTTTAGGATAATGCCAGTATTAGCTTTACCACTAAAATAGACAGTAACCTAGACCCTCAGAAAAACCATGGTTTATTATGAGTTTATAGTAAGTATAATCTAGCTATGTGTCTTCATTTTAAGAGTCTTTTGCTCTGAACTTTCACATCCTCTTTGGAGTGGGGCTCTGTTAATTCTGAAGTTTTAAGTGCCTGTATTAGCGCAGTATTGGGCAGCATTGGGAAATTGACAGTTCGACTGTTTTTAATTAATTATTTAAATTTATTTATTTTTGGCTGTGCTGAGTCTTCATTGCTGCGTGGGCTTTTCTCTAGTTGCGGAGGGTGGGGGCTCCTCTTTAGTTGCAGTGCAGAGGCTTCTCACCGCAGTGGCTTCGCTTGTTGCAGAGCGCGGGCTCTGGGGCACATGGCTTCAGTCGTCGTGGCACATGGGCTCAGTTAGTTGTGGCTCGCCGACTCTAGAGCACAGGCTTAGTAGCTGTGGTGTACAGGCTCATTAGTTGCCCCGTGACATGTGGGATCTTCCTGGATCAGGAATTGAATCCGTGTCTCCTGTATTGGCAGGCTGATTCTTTACCACTGAGTCACCAGGGAAGCCCTAGCTTGACTTTCTGAATGTAAAGAAAACAACAGCCATTTGCTCTCTGTCTTTTAGCATTCCTTTTAGTAACGACGTGTAACCTGGTTTAAGTGACCCATATGTTTCTTTTTTCTGGCTGCTGCTTAGTTTTCCGTCAGTGCTGTTTTTTCCCCTTCCTTGAGTAAGTGCTGTAAAAAAATTTTCTTTTCTCCCTTTCTTCCACACCTGCCATGCCTCTGACTCTGATGGGAGGCAAATGACAATGTTTTATTATCTCTGGTTCTCTCCCTAAGGTCAAAATGAGAGAGTTGAGTCTTCTCTGTGATACTGAATGGGTGCCAAATTGAAAGCATTAACAGGGAGCAACCGCCGCTTAGTTTCAGGTGTAAATTATTAGAGCTGTGAAGTGAAGTGAAAGTCTCTCAGTCATGTCCGACTCTTTGTGACTCCATGGATTATACAGTCCGTGAAATTTTCCTGATCAGAATACTGGAGTGGGTAGCCGTTCTCTTCTTCAAGGGATCTTCTCATCCCAGGGATAGAACCTAGGTCTCCCACATTGCAGGAGGGTTCTTCACCAGCTGAGCCCCAAGGGAAGCCCCTCAGAGCCAGCTGTGAGTGACCCGAAAGCTTGTCTTTCTCCATCTTTGCTTTCTCGTGTTTGTGCCTCCCTCTGCTGACAGATCCTAGGGACTTCTGAAGTGGCGTTTGGGCTTGAAAGTGGGAGAACCTCAAGGATGGGGTGAGGTTTCAGTGACCTTGTTCTGCAAGATATTCTTAATAAAAGATTGTAATTTATTCATTGTTTGAGATATTTAAGTCAAGGACTTGAGTATGTATTGCTGGCTCTGTAGGATATCACCTCGATGTGTAAAATAATCTGTGGTATTTCCAGTCTCTTCCTTAACGTGGCTCAGAATACTCACCAGGGATTTGTAGGGTCTTCAGTGACACTTGGATTGGTTGACTGGATTTTTTTTCTAGCTTTGTATAGAAATGGGTCTTTAAAAGTAATTTGTAAATTCCACACTCACCCTCCCTTTGGAAGTATGAATTTAGGTTAAATCTGAACTCTGCCACTTACTGTAGGTAAATAGCCTCTCTGAGCCTTAATCTGTGAAAGGATGATAATACCTACCCCTTAAGAATGATTGTTAGGATTAATGTGGGCTAGAGATAATGGAATGTTTATGATTTAAAGTATTAAAATATTTGGCTGGAGCTATAGAGGCAATTTAAAACTCTTTTAAGAGATTAAAAAAAGCACACACACAACTCTGGTTTGTAAAACTTCACAACACAGTAAACACATTCAAATCTCTGCAAAGTCCTTTACTCAAAGAACATCAGTTTACTTTGTCATGGACCTGCAAATTTCAAGGACTTCTAAGATTCTCTTTCCTGTAAGAAATGCATGAATGTGTTACTGTAATATTTGGCAGGTGAGTTTTATATTTACTTGTTTTTAATTGAAACTAAGGAAGATATTTGGCCTCATATGGAAGCTGAGTGATAAATGATGCATGGAAACTAAGGCAGTATGAGTGACTTGCTTAATGTAAAGCCTGATAAGCAGTCAAATCTTAGCATTCTTGACTTGCCTTGCAATTGTTTGCTTCTAAAGTAACCCCAGCAATAAGAATATAGTATTATGCAAGAATGTTTTTGTTTTAGTAAATGGAAATTGTCAGAGATTTCACTTGAAATTTGCTTATTCTCGTCTTTAGTTTTGTTAGAATTTTGACCTTGAAATGCTATGTTTTACTTGTATGAGATGGATTTATCAACGTTATTTTCATTAGGATTACATTGATAACGAAGCTATGAATGTACCCCTTAATTAACCGGCTGTGAACTTGACTGAAGTCATGATTTGGATGGTGTATGTCACCAGAGAGGTCTTTGTCACCATTTTAAGATTTGAAATTTAGATGTGTTTACACCCCTGGAGGGAAAAAAAAATCCAATTAGGTGCCATCTGTGGGTCCTGAGCACTTGTTCCCTCACCTCTGTAATTAAAAAACTTGTGCAGGCTGCTTGGCTAAAGCAGGGGTATGTTAGTAAACTGGTCAACTTTCTTAGTCTAAAATGTTCTTTAGGAAATCAGTGATTCTAAATGTTTCTGGGTCTGGGTCACCACATTCTCTAGGGTAAGGCATGGAATGACAGTTCAGCAAATACATACTGAGTATATATTATTAATACATGCCAACAAACCACTTGTTGGAATAGGTTGTTAACTCACATGGGTCATGTTGGACAGCTCTGGAGAAGAAAGATTGAATTGGCTCTTCTCCTGACTTTCCTTCACTCATTGAGCTAAGTGGTAGTGACCTACTGCTTCTAGAGTGAGACTTAACGTGGTTATTGAACTTGAGTCTTGCTGTGTATTCTTTTTAGCATTGATTGATGTTTTCAGTATGATTTAATGTTCTCTTCAAGCTTTGCACTGACCTCTCAGAGGGCTGCTGTGCCAGTTACTTCTATTTATCGCAAGGCAGGAAGGAGTTTCTTCAAACTGAATACCAGGTGATGTGGTCTAGAAAAAAGAATTGCTAAACTTCTCTTTGAGATGCCAAGTGCTTTGATGTTTTAGAAACAATTGCTAAATTTGGACTTGGACACCTGTGTTCAGTTCAGTGAACATGTAATTGAGTGTACATTATGTGCCAAACTCTGTCTTTTTCCCGTAAGAGGGTCAAGTCCAGTGCATGTATGTGTGCTTGCGAAGTCACTTCAGTCATGTCTGATTCTTTGCGACCCTTTGGACTGTAGCCCGCCAGCCAAGCTTTTTAGTCCATGGGATTCTCCAGGAATACTGGAGTGGGTTGCCATGCCCTCCTCCAAAGGATCTTCCCGACCCAAGGATTGAACCCTTGTCTCTGGCATCTGCCTGCACTGACAGGCAGGTTCTTAACCATTAGTGCCACCTGGGAAGCCCCAAAGTCCAATAGGGGTATGTGTTACTTGTAGGCAGAAGCTCTGGGATAATGCAGCCAACATTTACATTAACAGACAGATGCACAAGGCATATATGCTGTGTAGATGATTGTTTTTATTTAGGGTGAGCAAGAGAGTTGGGTGTGTGCCAGTGTTGAAGGGTATTCTGAGGAAGTGGATACTGCGAGTGAATTTAAAAAGTAGTGGGTTAGAAAGAAGTCATAGGAACTGAGGGAAGACAAGAGTTTCGTAGATATCGGCGTCAGTAGCACCTCCAAAGCTGGGAGCCACATGTGATCCTGATTGGCTTCGTAAGTTAGAAAGTCACTTTGGTTCTAGAAGTTTGGGACATAGGAGCATTTCTGTTGGAACAGTAGTTTGCAACCAACCTTTGCTGCTTACTTTGTGACTTGGGAAAGCCATTTTGACTTTGGCTCTTTGTAAAGAGGTGTTTAGACTCTCAGTGGGTTCCAGTCATAATCACTGGGGCTCCATGAGTTCAGAGAAGGCACTTCTGGGTCTGCAGGGAGATCAAGGGTAAGGTCAGATTTTCATTGGGGAAAGAAGTGCGGGTAGTCTATTTCTGATTTAAACAGCTGGAGCAGCTTGAGTTTTTATCTATTTTATATATTTTGACTTCAGTATAAATTTTATTTGAAAAGACATAGTACAGTATAAGAAATTTGAAAACCACTGGTCTACGGAAGTCATAGTTGCCTTCAGACATTAAAAGCAATATAATTAATAGCTGGTGTTCAAAATTCCTCTACTAGATGAAGATTATAATAGATGTTAACTTGCTCAGTGTATAGATTTTATTCAGAGGGCAGCTTAGTATCTGAGTTTCTGTAATAATGATTATTCTCATTAGGAATGAAAACTGAACTTCCAGACAACTTAATTCTACTTTATACTTTGTTAAAAAAATCTTTTTATGTGTCTCACCAGGTTCTGACTCAGAAGATCTTTTGGAAGAATTGCTCTGCTGTTTGATGCAGTTAATCACTGATATTCCACTCTTGTAAGTTCTGGCTAAGCCAGGATTACTTTTCTCTTCTTAGTGTGTATTGAACATGCTAATTGATCGTGTTGAAGAGTTTGTGGGTGTGGTGTAGTACTTTCATGTATCGCTTTTATGTATGCCTCCATGTACATCCATGGGCTTCTCATTGTCTTGTGTGATAATAGTTAGACTTTGATGACCTGTCATCAACACAAGAATTCTATGTTGTTGAGGGGAAGATAAACTCCTTAGCAACATGAAGCATATGATAAGCACAGAATTAATCTGTGTAAACCAGGGTTTGGGAGAAAAGCAGTTTGAATCTGATATATACATGGTAGATATAACTACCTGTCCATCCATTATTTATTCTTCCCTTCTTCCTTGCTTCTGGATTTTATATCTGGCCTCTTTTGGAGAGGTTGGATTTCTATTTCTAGCTTCTCTTGAAGCTGGATGTGGTCAATGAGATGTAGGGGACATCCTCCAGTGAAACTCACAGGCAGAACTCTTTACGGGACTTGACTCCCCTGAGAGGCATATACATATTTTCATCTGTGAGAGCCCACTACCCTGTTCTCCAGAGTGTGGGCAGAGTCTCCTTAGAGTTGTGTTGGACATCTTGGCATGAACTGAGAGAATCACAGCAAATTCTGCTTTGATGGCATTGAGCTGCTGAACCAAAGTGATCAACCACTACTCCTCTCCCGCCCCCACTCCTGGAGTTCTCATGTAAGAAAAATAGACCTTGTTTACACTATTATAACTAGATTTCTGTTACTACAGCTGAATGCAGTTCCTGTATAATTCAAAATGTTTGTTACTTTTGAAGCAGTTATTCTCAACCTTATTTGTCTCTCAGAGAAGCCTTTTTAGAATTTTTTTTTTTTCCCTGACCCAGAGGGATCGGGATGGGGAACACATGTAAATCCATGGCTGATTCATGTCAATGAATGGCAAAAACCACTATCATATTGTAAAGTAATTAGCCTCCAACTAATAAAAATAAATGGAAAAAAAAAAGAAAAGGATTCTTTTTCCTAATTGCCTCTCCAGAGTCCTAATGAAATTTGAATACCCCAGATACACTGAATATGTTTATATGCTTTGACTTTTTGGAAGGCCATACATCAGTATAATATCCATGAAGTTTTTCACCCCTGAAAGAACCAATTTTTCCCACTGGAGAGTAATCTCTTACACCCACTATTCAGAATGCATATTTTATTATTTAAATTTTTTTTTTTAATTTTTGGCCACACCACACGGCAGGTGGGATCTTAGTTTCCTGACCAGGGATCTAACCCATGCCGCTTGCAGTGGAAGTGCAACGTCCTAGCCACTGGACAAATGGGGAATTCCCCAGATTGTACATTTTAGAGGAGTTATTGTTTGAAATAAAAAAAATAGGTTTTAAGATTTATCATCACAAAATCTCAGGCTGTTTGTAGATGTTGCTGGAAATATGCCCCTTGCCTGTGGCCCAAAAGGAAAGATGGGTATTTGTAAGAAAACAGGCCTCTGTTGTACATGAGTGCAGCATCCAGAATTGTATTGTGACAGTTGCCCAGTTGTGTCCAACTCTTTGTGACCCCATGGACTATACAGTCGATGGAATTCTCCAGGCCAGAATACTGGAGTGGGCGGCCTTTCCCTTCTCCAGGGGATCTTTCCATCCAAGGGATCGAACCCAGGTCTCCTGCATTGCAGGTGGATTCTTTACCACCTGAGCCACAAGAGAAACCCTTGTATTGTAGGTTTATTGTATTATAGGAAGAATTGTGTTATAAGCTTAGAAAGGAGAACCACCAAACCCTGTTGTGACCTGGTCTGGTCACGTGCAGCCTGGAAGGTAGGGCTGAGACAGCTGAGGAATCACTGATAGGGAAAGGGCATGGAGAAAATGTCCCAGGTAGTGGAACTCTTATGACAGACACAGTTCTTTACATGCCTGGTATCCTTTCTCACCTCTTCTCCAATATTGTTGGGGGATGTGTGTGCCCAGCTTAGTTACAGGCTCTTTGGGAACTAAATGTGGCTCCATGACAGTTTGGGCCAGTTACATGTAAGCGGAAGTCAGGAGCTTGCAGAGCATGTATCTTCAGCTCATCGCCTTTGGCCCTTCTCTTCCTACCTGGAAGTGGAGGCAGTGCTCCGACCTTCTTGAATCTAGGATGATGGGTGCCACACACAAAGAACAGTGTCCCAGGAGCGTGGGGTGTTGATAATGTTATGGAACGATTACACCAGCCCTCAATGGCTTATCTTTGGTTTTCTTGTGTTAAAAGAGCAAACAGTTGCTTTGGTTAAGCCACTGTAGTTAGCTTTCTGTTACATACGGTCGGATGTGGGAGGGGGAACACACACATTGCTTGTTGTCATTGTTTAGTTGCTAAGTCGTGTCTGATTCTTTAGCGACTCCAAGACTGTAGCCTGCCAGGCTCCCCTGTCCATGGGGTTTCCCAGGCAAGGATGCTGGAGTGGGTTGTCATTTCCTTCCCCAAGACTCTTCCCGACCCAGGGATGGAACCCGCGTCTCCTGCATTGGCAGCAGATTCTTTACATGTAGCCACCAGGGAAGCCCTGTGTGTTGCCTGCTGTTTGTTTATCATAGTATGTGTGAGGCTTCTTGTGTTCCTGATGTTAATTTTAAAAACAGCACCACCTGTATTACATTTGTTATTACCAAGTACCAGCAATTTCATATATATCCTAAATAAGTACATTGTTTTTGTTACTGTTGTTGATAAAATGTTGTGGTAAAGTTAAGGGGGATGGAAATGATAAATCCCCTTAGATAGTAAATAAGCCGTGAATACCATGTAGAGACCAGCCACTTAAACACTTGGAGAGCAAGTAGACAGTGTTGTAATATATCAAACATTTCAGTGTTTTAATGTGTTTATACTTTTTAAATGAACTGAAAATGCACAGACAACCAGATGTCTTGTATTATGTACACTCAGCTTTAACCAGCTGCTGAAACAATTTCTTATGATTTAATGTTCTTGGAACTCCATCCTACAAGAAGGTTTTGTCTTGGTAACAGTTTCCATGTGAAACCAAACTCCTCTTCAAATGTTTCATCTACTATAACCATAGTGCAGTGTTATGGATCAGCTTATAATTTAAGGAGGAATATTAGCCTATGAAAACTGGCGATGCTCTGACACACCTGACTATCATCTGTCTTGCTATAAACATTGAAGTTTAATGTGCTGCCTTAGTGGGTAAATAGCAAGAGGTATCTAATTTTAATGGCCTTCATGGGTAATTCAAAACTTCTCTACCTTAAATATTTGAGACTCTGAAATCATTCTGTTAATATTGAAGGTAAGTGATTACCAAGAACTTAGAGTGATTAGAAGAATTTAGAAATCTGTAAATTTTAACTGATTCTTCATAATTAGGAGAACAGGATCAACTATGGTAAACTCCTAGAATTTCTAAGAATTCATCTGTAATGAAAATTTACTTTTAAGCAGTAAGTGGATTTTGCTTCTCAGTTTGGATTTGTTGATAAAATATTAATTCTATGAGGTGTTAATCTTCAGTGTCAGATTAAAATTGCATACCTTCTGGAAATCCTTCCTCATTAACTCCATACCTCTCAGCTTTTATATGTATATTTAAAAGAAAGATTAAGTCAGGCACAGTCTTGTGACTTGACATTTTTCAGTGTGTATTGGGTTGATCCACTAGAATTAAAGTGTTTCAAAAGTAAAACTTTGTCTTTTTAACTGTTACACCTTCTTGATCTCAAGGAGTTGAATGGGAGAGGAATAAGGTATGACAAAGGTATGTCTCTTAAGACACTAATGGAGAGTGAAATGGAACATGGTTGGCAGGCTAGAGTTGAAAGCACTACACTTAGAATTTGGGACACTGGTTGGGTTCTTCCAGTTTTGCCATTGAGGTTGAATGGAGACTCTATGGCTGTACCCAGTGATGGAGTTTAGGTGGGGCCCTAGCAGCATAAGCAGTAATGTTGGATGGGCATAGTACTTGATGTTTTGAGGACTGCTTAGGATGCTTTTCTTACTATGAAATAGAATTTATTTTGAGAGCTTGAACAGGGTTTCTTTCCTTGTCTGTTTGTTGCTGTTTCTGTCAAAGCTCTCACTCTCAGCTGTTTACAGTGAGGCTGTTGTTGAGAGCAGGCTCTGCTCCTTTCCTCTGTGCCCCACTCTGGACAGTTCCTGGGAGTCTGCTTAGAGTGGGCCTTGCTTTGAGCTCTGGCCCCTTCCTCTGAGATCCGTTTATGTGTCTTCTCCTTTATTAACCTGTGAATTCAAAGAGGAGGAAAGACCAGGGCTCCTTAATTCTCAGCCTAGCCCTAATGGGCAGATATTTTAATTCTGTAATCTGAAAAACTTTATCTAGATTTGTCGTAAGTTATATATTGATAAGGATGTGATATTCATAATGGATTGCCTTCACTGCCTTTTCTGGGGGACTGTGTGTGTGTGTGTGTGTGTGTGTGTGTGTGTGATGAGACTTAGTCTGCTGCTCGAGTGCAGAGGTACCTGGTGTCATCTACTGGCCTTGTTGTCCATGTTACTCATTCTGCTTCAGTCATGCTGGTGTTCTTGCTAATTTGGAACTTGCCAACCCACTCCTGTCTTTAAGGCCTCTGACCTTCCTTCTCCTGCCTTGAATATCTTCCCTCAGACATCTGCATGGCTCATGTCCTGTCCTCCTTCGAGCTTCCTTCCTTCTGCTCAAAGTTCGGCTTCTTGGGAACAGTTGCTTTGCCTACTGTAAAATAGTACCCCTTCATAGTCTGTCATCATGCTTTATTTTTTTGTCCTAATGCTTATCACTACTTTTCATATTATTATCTCATGTTATTTTATTTCTCAAATAAAATTAGAATGAAAGCAACGTGAAAACAAGGGCTCTTCCTGTGCCAGCACTTTGTTTTGCTCACTTCTGTCCCCTTAGTATTGAGGTTAGCCTGGCATGTAGAGGACTCAAAAAATATTTGTTGAATGAGTAAGTCCCTGGGGGCACAGCCTATTCAGTGTGCTTAAATATTTTGTTTG